TGTTTTTGACCAGAGTAATTAAAAATAATTACCAAGGAAATATTTATATTTTTCTCATTAATGTATATATTTTTTTAAATGTTACTATATGCTGTTTTTGAAATAAATGAATCAGTGCACTTCAGATATGGCTTACACACACACACACACACACACACACACACAGGTTCTTTAATACATATTACAGGTTATTTAAAAGCTGTCCTGAGGGAATTGCTGTTCTGGAATCTCCGTATTGCTATAACTTCAGCATTAGTTCCATTGTCCTGCAATCAGCGTCTACCTCTGGACACAGCTCTACCCTTACTACAGAGACCATGGGACCAGTGCTTAGGCACTGGTCACATTACTTTTGACAAGTGGACAGTGGAAGCCTGGAACAGCAGTTTCTGCAGGACAGGTAAGTATTAAAGAAATATTTTACAGTATATGGCTATAGAGAATCAAGAGGATTGCTTGCTGCTTTATGAAAATGCTGGGTGTGCCTGGCTTGCATACTTCTAAGTCATTGATATGAATTAAGCAAAACAAATCTTGAAAAAGTCCTATCTCTATATTTGTTCCCAGTCAGTGACTCACAAACCGTTGAAGAGAAAGCATCAGTGTGACAGCCAGGCAACCTTCATTTCTAGAAGGTCGTCAGGATGGCCAGGCTTCCTAAATTCATTGTTGTCGTGAAGGTACAAAATACCTCTGGTCATCAATGGACTAATATATCCAGATTCTGTAGAACTATAGGGTCTATAAAGTAGTGTCACACACCTCATAAGCTACAACTATACACAGCACATCATGGTTGACTAAATCACAACAAAATGTGCATTACTTTACAAATCTCTATTTCCAGATACATTATGTAGCGTCCCCCTTTCTTGGTCAGTGCTATCCCAGCACAGGATAATACTACCAGCGGCTCTGAAGGGGTGATCTACAGTAAACTGAACTAACGGGCCTCCCTGTCTTTCCTCTATAAGAAACCTCTGTTATAGATTCACAACACACCAGCACACCTTGAGTTGATTTAAGAAGTTTTACTACACTTTAGATGTTAAACATCAACATCAACAGGTATGCAGTGAGGTTCTTGCTAATGTCAGACACTTCAGGAAATAGATCGAAATCAGCTATACGGAGGACTGACTAATTAATGTACTGACAACAGTTCCATCACACAGAATAAATGTTAGGTCAGAACCTTGTCTCAGTCCCTATGTACCTAGGTACTTAACCAACTGGCCAGTGGTCTAATCTTCGGCTAGCCAACGGTGTGGCCCAATGTAACTGATGTGGAACTCAGTGTTAGGTGTAATCAGTAAGCATAGGCCAAAGGCCACTCGCCTATCCAGGAGGGAACTGCACAACCAGGAGTTTTCACACTGTTAGTAGATGTCTTTCAGGAGAAGATCAGCTCACTTGGCAGAGAAAGGTCTATACAGGTAGGAGAAGACCAGCTCATCCAACGTGGCGTCTGTTATCACGGCCGAATCCTCGTCCACGATCGTGGCACAGCGGTCTCAGAAGTCCCTCTCGATCACTTTGCAGGCTGCCATGATCCTCTCGCCCCCTTTGCCTATTAGCAGGGCAAACAGGGACACAGGATGCAGACACAGCGGCCCTCTGGTTCACAGCAGCCACACATGTGTCCTGCTCTCTCGACCTCCGCCTTGGGAATTAATCCAGATGTCCCCCTGCAGCCAGAGTGCGGTCCCCTCTCCTCTCACAGCATTCTGGGATATGCAGTCCTCGACAGTCAATCCTGCTAGCATCTTCATAGGAAAAAAAAATAATGTCCCAACAGTCTCTTGTTAGCAGATCCCCTGGTCAGCTGGAACATTATGTCTGCCTTAAAGGGGCCAGTTCCATAACAGTGCTTTACTTACATGAGACCCCCTATGTTTGTGAAATTGCAAAAAATCTATACAGTAAAAAAAAAAAGGAACCCCACCCCTTATCACTTACAGGGCTTCTGATTTTACCAAGGCTAGACATTTACATCCAGGTTCTGTGTACAGCAGAAGCACCACCTAGTGGAAAAATCTGATATGGGCCAATTTAGTAATGTACTGTATGAGCACCATTGTTAATTGAGTGGTTAGAATAATAGAAAGGGGATCTGTGATTGTTTGTAGGAGGTCAGTAAGGGGTGGAGGCCTAGGGTATTAGTTCATGATGGAGTCCCAAGGAGACTCCTTTAACTTTAGCTCTAAGGAGCTGGGTGAGATACATGTACATACCTAGTGGTGTCTACACATACTTTTAGATGCTCTTATCATCTTATCGCTGAATCCTTTGGCACTGTAATCTGCAAATTGTGGAGCTCAACCACCTCCTGTATCTTCCCATCAGTGGGAATGACCAACAGGAACATGTGGGAAGTTGGAGGAGATGGGCAAGCTCTCCACACTAACAGAAAGTGCATTTTCATTTCACATCTCTCAGCATCCATCCTGGAAGGGGCATCTAAACGTATAGGCAGGCACCATTCCTTGCACATTAAAGCTGTAAAAAGTTCAATTGAGGGAGAAATTGGTCTTATGGTGACTTTTAAAGGTTTCTCAATGACAACCTGACCATCCAAGCCTACCTTGCTTACAGCCTAAGATGCTAATGCCACCTTGAAAACATTCAAAGAACATGCAGGTATCTAGGAGGACCAGTAAACATTTGCAGTTACACTACCAAACTACTATAAAACCTTCAACATTGCAAGAAACAAGCTTTTCAAGTCCCAAGCCCCCCAGCCCAGCCTCCTTCTTCCCAGTAGCAAGAAAATAACATTTTTCTTATTAGCTGATATAAGCAATAATGACTTTCATTATGTTCTACCCACCAATATGTAAAAAAAAAACAAGATTCACTGTGGTTAGGAAATTGGTGAACGCAACATAACGGCTTTAGAGTGTTGAAATGCAGATTACTACACTCTGGAAAATTGGGCCACCCAACAATCCCTATAAATATACAGAGAAAGCAGTTCACTATGTGGAATAGGTAACTATTTCTAATCCAGCCATGAAGCTACACACCATTCAGAGCTCCATATGTTTGATCCTCTGGATGGTGACCATCCACTGCTCTACTGAAGAGACATGCCCAGGTAACATTTTGAGATAAGATTGGGTTCGTTTTTTGTTAATTACTGTATAAAAAGTATATATTTTTTTCTTTCTTTCCTATGTTAACCTTCTAATCTTCTAGCTCTGCATTCAATATGAATGCTACATCCAAATGCACTGACGTTTACTACCATCTTTACACATAGACTGTATAGCCAAAGAGATGTAATAATGCAATTTATGTATCTATACTTTTTAGTGACATCTATACATGGTCGTCTAATGATATGAACTTTATTATGAAATGCATATACAAATTTTAGAAGATCAGATAAAGTGATGCTTCCATATGATTATCCTTACAGATTCTCCTTAAAGTTTTTTGGGACTGTTGGACTGCCTTTCTTACCCATTCAGCTCTGCTTACACTCTTGCCATATTTCCATTGATCCAATTCAGTGATTACATTTGCTGTATAGTCATGCACCTATACAAAGCTAAGCTGCACATTTAAAGTTTATTCTATTAACCATGCTTAGGATGTTTTAATTATTATTACTGTTGTTGTTATTTAATTTCCAAAAAGTATTACTCTACAGTAGGGTTGGGCAACTCCAGCTGTTATGGAACTACAAGTTCCATGAGGCATTGCAAGACTAACAGTTACAGGCATGACTCCTCGAGGCAGAAGCATGTTGGGATTTGTAGTTAAAGCACAGGTGGAGGGCCGGAGTTGCCCACACCTGATCGACAGGTGCTATCTGAGGAAGTATTTATTTTTAGCCACTTGGGTACCTTAGGCATACATACATAGCCTGCCCTGACCCACACATACATGCCCACCCCCGCACACCCCCTGCCGCTTTTTTGACAGCCATGTATGTACAGCAGCCAGTGGTCAAAAATAGACCTTCTGATCACTGTTTAAAAAAACAATGGGGTCTATTCACGAAGCAGCCGAAGCTGTAGCTTCGGCCGATCCTTCGGCTAGCTTCGGCCCCAGGACTCCTTCGGTTCAGTAGAACCGAAGGGCTGCTGTACGGGCTATTCACCGGTGACGGGCTGGCTTCGGTCACTTGCAGAGAGATCAGCGTCCCTGTTCGGCATCTATAAGACTCTACTAGACCCAAGAGCAGCTAGTAGCCTGCCGGAGGTTCGGCTTAGCCGATCCAGATGTTGGATCGGTTGAGTCGAACTCCTCCTGCACTTCGGGTTGGCCGAACATGCTTAGCATGTTCGGCCGACCCGAAGCCACGTGAAGCCACCCGATGTACGGCTGATTTCAGCCGATATACGGCTGAAATCAGCCGTACCAGCCTGAAATGAATAGCCGAACAGCGTTCGGCACAGTTCGCTTTTGGTCGGTCATTCACTCGGCTGCCTACGGCAGCTTAGTGAATAGACCCCAATGTTTCAGACTTAGGATTCAGAGATACAAAGCAACATTATTGTTACTTGTACTTACTCTATTTCATGCGTCTGCAAATCAAAGGGATGAGCTTTGATCTGCATATGATGTCAGTTAAAACAATGTGACAAGTTGTTTGTTTGTTTTTGTTTTTTTAATTAAATGTGTTCCTATTTAACCCGTTAGTAAACCTAAACAGACTAACAAACTACTTCCCCTCTGTTCCCTTGGTTTTATTTTTTTATTCCTTTTGTTTGCTAAAGGGAAATTTTGTCTTGTTTTTTTGAGCCAATAAAGCATTGCAACCATGACTCACCCTTGCTCCTGCCAACTCTTTCTCCCATCCATGGCCATACCTCGGTACGGACATTTAGGGGGTTACTCACAAAATGGTGAAGAGTTTGGAGAAGGCAGGATAGCTGAACATTCTAGGACTAAATAGCTCACTTGGAAAAATTCTCCAATTCAGCTCACTTTCCAGTTCAGCTATGTTGTCCTAAATTGTTCACTTCTCCTGCCTTCTCCAAACTCTTCACCCTCTTATGAATAACCCTGTTATTAACAGAGAGTGGAACAAGAATGAGTGGACATCACAGCACTTGTATCCCGTTTAGAACTACAACTCCCACTGCTGCGAGGACTTGTAGTCTGTCTTTACAGAGCAAAGATCTGCATATGGTTGAAGCAGCTGTACGATCTGACCATGTTTCATGTTACACTCTGAATATGGGTGTAACAGTAAACAGTCAGAAAAGTAAACTTAACCTTTATTTTATTTTTTTCATTTTTTTAGTGTTGCATTTAAAACAATATGCAAAATTGAAAAAAAAAGCTCTAACTTAATTTGTAAATATATTTGTAGCAGAAACAGAATTGTAGTGTCACTATAAACTGGACACATGATAGAATACAATATATATTTATTGGAACAGTAAACAATGATCAAAACATTGGTCAAAGTAGAATAAAAAATGATTTTATTTATTTATTTTTTGTTACATCTCTTTGTCTATAGATTGTGTAGAAAATAAAATAATTTTTGCAAGACAATCCCACCAAAAATATATATGTATTCCATTGTTATCTTATGGGCTCATTCACACCACATTCAGATCCTCTCCGGACCAGAACAGATTGTTTCCGGACCCAAAGTGCATCCTAATGTATTCCAATGCTTTTTTAAGCCTTTGTTCACACCAGCGCAGTCCGTTCCAGATCAGACCAGAAAAATACTGCTCGTCTCATTTTGTCGGGTCTGGAATTAACTGGAACTGCGGGCAGGTTCACACCATTTTCTGAAACAGATCTGGTCCGAAAAATGGTGTGAACCTGCCCTCAAGACTGACTATGTTATTGCTAAATAAACAGGTCCATGCAGAAATGTAAAAACTGCTCTGGTCCATTGGTGTGTATGGGTGCCAAAGTTGAAGATTTAAATCTTGATTGTTTAAAAGACATTATTATTATCTATTTCTTACTGGTTTTAAAGAAGAATAAAACTTATATTAACACTTGCAGCTGGATAGGTTAACTGATCATTTTCATTTAGGTGCTGAAATAAAAAAAAGTTATAGTCACCCGATCCTCGGAGCCGGCTACACATATATATCAGCTAAGGAACTACAAGTCCAAGCATGCCATCATTGTCCCTGTAACACCCCCACACTCACACATATCACCCAGGGAACGGCAATATCTGGTTGTTGTACAGGGGCAATGAGGGCATGCTGGGACTTGTAGTTTGCAGTCACATAGATAAAGCCATGTAAAAATAAATACTCTAGGCCAGTGCCCTTTCTCTCTTCCCTTATGTCTCTCCAGTACAAAGATAAATCTTGGCATGAGAAGCTGCAAGGCAAGGTAGTGTTTACCATTCATTTACAAAGACATTCTTTATGGCATTGACAGGCTTGTTGTGTTCACAATTCGCTTTGTTTTATAAATACTCTTCACATTACAGTTCTTTATTAGTGTGATTTGTGACACTGAAGGAAGGTCCTTTTGTTGACCAGGGTGATGGTCAGTGAGCGATGCTAAGCAACAATAATTTATCTCTTCTATTTACTCCTAATAGATTTTACAGCCGGGTGTAGATGGCCTAAATTTCAAACAATTAATGCTGAAGCGGCCACAATTGGGGTCATAGATGACCTTTAAGAACCACCCGGTTCAACATAAGCAGATTTAAAAATTGACTGAGCCAAGCCTACAATTATCACTATTCGGCAACACCAGCAGTCACTGTTCGGCAGCACCAGCAGCCATGGGTGCTGCTTACCTTGTGAATGTTAATCTGAAGAGTGCCGTGTTGTGCAGGCATTTAACAAGCTTTAGCAAGCATTTCGTGGGCAATAAATATGTAAGTTTATTTTTGTTCTGAATTGAATTTCTGACAAATTTCTTTCAATTCGGACATTCGCATGCATCTGAATTTCCAGATTCAAATGCATTGGAATTCAAACAAATCCAAAAAATGTTTCCCACATTTCATCTGAATTTCCACCTTTCAAATTCTAATGACTAGTACAGACAAAAATGACCAGTATGGACTAAGAAGACCAGTACGGACTATGATGACCAGCACAGACTAAGATGACCTGTACGGACTAAGATGACCAGTATGGACTAAAATAACCAGTACAGACTAAGATGACTAGTTCATCTTAGTGTATCAATCCAAAATGAAACACATTTTTTGAGCCTTCATATGTCTAGTAGGCAAGTAGGAATGTAGAAGTTAAACATCTGCAGAGCACTGCTGATTAATATGTGGAGCCCATCTTCCACGCATGTGGCTGACATCAATGAAGGCTAAGGGAAATGTGGCTTTGTATTTATTCTTCATCTGAGTGTATGGCAGGTGTCCTTTACATATCCTCTGTGTGCTTAGTGACAACCAAGAGCCACACATGGGGAAGTGTAAAACTCCCTGTGTGTATAACCCCAAATCTCCTTTGCTATGTAGTGTTCATCTGAAAATTGCCTTTGTGAAACTGGATTTATATTTAGGATATATCATTTTGTTATTACAGATGTCAAGCTTGTTGGGGTGGGAGGATCAGAGAAGCTGGCCATTTTACGGGGATGTCCTGGGGCCCCTGGAGCACCAGGACAGCCAGGCCCTGCCGGTTCCACTGGACCTAAAGGTAGTATATCTACGTATTCTATGCCATGTAATAATAAACAGCTTCTGCATTGAACATTTTTTTTTTGTGATTATAATGAGATGAAGGTACCTTAATTTAAATGTCAGCCCCTCCCCCCCTTTCCCCCAAAGTCTCCCTTCATTAGTGGGCCTTGATCCTAAATTTATTTTAGTGCTGGTCAAGCTGGTTGTCACAAATGCTGCTGGCAGGCCATCATCCAGTGTGGCCCTCCCTAATGAAAACATAAAATGTGAATTGTGCCTCTATCTAGATTAGAACACACCAACAATAGGGCTGTGAAAAACTGTGTATTTAGCTATTTGATGGGCATTTAGCTTTAGTGCACTTTGGTGCCCTATGCACTATGGTTTAGCTAAAGAGACACCCTGTCTGATTGTAGCTTCAGACTGAGCCATTGGATAAGAGGATTAATTACTGCTCGTATTAAATTAGTTATGTGTGTGTTTCAGCTTAAGCTACTGATCTCCATAAACGACAGACTTTGTCCAAAGCCCGTGAAGAGGAGCTGGGAGATACACCTGCTTCATGGATAAACGCTTACATACTGTTAATATGCAATATCTAGTATTTACCTAACTAAAAAGAAATAAAGTGTCTTTAATCCTGAGCATATTTTAGAAATGGAATATGTAAAAATCCACTATACCTTCCATTTAAAGGATGGGTGGGCCTTAATCCCCACAGGTCTGTAAGAGTACATACTCCTAGTTGGGTCTTTTGCTTCCAGGGCATGTGTGCTGTGTAGACTCCACTACCAATGAAGAACTGAAATGACTGGAGTCTGTAATATGCATGCCCAGAAGGCACAGAGCCGATTGGGAGGATTTGTAAGAAAATATTGCAATGGAGCAAGGACAGCAATGCACCGTATATGCTGGTACACAACTACTGCAGGAGAGGCTCATGGCCACCTGAGTGCAAAATGAGTGCATTTTCCCTTTAAGAAGTATCTGGCCATTGCAAAGCAGCATGTCGGCTTTCTCTAAAACTATTGTTCAATTATATTTTTAGGTGATCAGGGATCACCAGGAAGTCCTGGGAAGATGGGACCAACAGGGCCAAAAGGTAAGTACTTCATCATATATAAGAGCAGGGGCATGGACTATAGTAGCTAGTCGGGTATTAGCTTCAGTCTAGAAATGGGGGGGCTCAGAGAACTCGATCTAGGACCTCCTTCATATGTTTATATGTGTATTTATTTGTTTAAACATAAAATCATTTCTGGATGTGAAGTGTACATAGTTACATAGTTACATAGTTACATAGTATTTGAGGTTGAATAAAGACATTAGTCCATCAAGTCCAACCTATTAGGATCTCATTCTAGGAGTACCCGTGTACAATAATGTAGAACAGAAAAACCTACTAGTGATCATTCCTACAATCCAGAGAGGAGATATGTGCTATTCAATACTGACCACTTATGTACCAAGTTTATAAATAGATATGCAAAAGGCTTTATTTACAAATATTGCAGGGTGTATATCTACACCAATGGCTGTTAAAACAAAAACCCAAATGGTTATTTTAACAGCCATTGGTGCAAATATGCACCCTGTAAGGGAGTTAGCTTTCCTGGGTGTGTCCCCATTAGTAAAGGGATCGACACCTTAACGGAGACTATAGGGTTAAAGATTAGGGTCCTATTCACATAACAGCAGTGATTTGAAAATGGATCTAATCACGTGACACATACACTGAGATGGTCAGAGAGATAGATATGGATTTCTTATATTACATTGATAGTGTGAATCCGCTGTCAATGACACCCAATGGCACCGATAGTTTATGTATAAATACATAGATGGAAGCTTGGTACAGTAAAACTTATCCGGGAGGTATAAAGATTTGGGTATTATTTTCTTTTTGTATTGCCCATTCTCTATGAGTTGAGGTGGTTGTAGGCAGAGCCTTTCATACCCCTCTGTTTTAAGATGATCAGGAAACAGGAAGCTAGATACCTACAGTATATTCCACAGAGTGGGTGTGATGTTAGAAAGGGGCTGTCCACCATGAGATCCACATTGATTATATTGATGATAGATAGAAGGAAACCATCTTTGGGAATTGAGTACTAACACGCCTTTGAGGAAGTCCGGGGGCAGACGAAACATATCAGGTGACTGTGTGGCGCAGGATAACTGATAGGGCCCCCTGCATGTGCTATACCTTAGGCCCTAAGGTATTGCAAAAGCGCACCCGGGCATTACCAACAATATACTGTAGCTTTCTGATACCCTAAGGATTAGGGTATCAGAAAGCTACAGTATATTGTTGGTAATGCCCGGGTGCGCTTTTGCAATACCAGTTTTTTACAACACAAACGGATCTATACCCACAAGAATTTTCCTGGATGTACATACAGTATACTGGCCGGGAATCAGCGTATTACCAGATGTATGTCAGAGTTCAGGATGGTAATTTGTGGATACTAACCATTTCAGTCAAGGGGGCATGTTCACGTTTATATGGGTGGGATCATTCCATAATATCATCAATTGATATATACTGTAAGTAGACGTGTGCACCAGCAAAAAATTAGTTTAGTTTAGATTCGGATTTTGCATATTTTGTTTTTCAGATTCGGGTCCGCAATTGAATTCGTTGCGGGATTCGGATTCGGACTAAATTCGTTAGCAGTAGTCGTTTTTCGGATTCGGGTCCGCAATTGAATTCGTTTCGGGATTCGGACGAAATTCGTTAGCTGTAGTCCGGTCGAAATTTCAACCGGACTATGCTTTTCATATGAAAAGCATTATGACACCCCGGCTCACGGAATAGCATTCGGGAGTTTCCGAATGCTATGTAGTATTTGACGGCTGAGAATGTCAAATGGGCGGAGCGAGCCATGACGTCACGGCTCGCTTCGCCCATCTGTTGACATTCGGGCTGAATGTCATTTTGCAGCGAGTTTTCGTCGGGTTCGGCGGGATACCGAAAAAACGGTATCAATGCATCCCTTATATATATATATATGTGTGTATATATATATATATATATATATATATACAGTATATACACATATATATATATATATATATATTGTGGCATTGTGAGTAAAAATGTTGGCACCCCAGCATTTCTGTCAGATAATGCACCACTTCGTGCAGAAAATTGTTGCATTTACAGATGTTTAGGCATTCTCATGTTTATTTCTTTTGCTTGTATTGGTATGACACAAAAAAAGTGGAGAAAAAAAAGTCAAATCTGACACATTCCACGCAAAACTCCAAAAATGGACTGGACAAAATTATTGGCACCTTCTCCAAATTGCAAGAAATAACTGCATTCCAAGTTTTTGTGGAAAAGCATGGACAATCTCAAGTCCATCTCCAGAGATCTTAATGTTCCTGTGTCCACTGTGTGGAACATTGTCAAGAAGTTTACAGATCCTGTAATGGCACTGTAGCTAATCTCCCACACACAGGGCCCTGCAGTTAGTTGTCTTGAGTTTTAGATGGAGTTTTTTTTTTTGTTTTTTTTTTACATGTAGATTTACATGTAAAGTCGGTTCATAAGTGGTCAGTATTCAATAAAACTTATCTACCCCCTGGATTGTAGGAATGACACTAGTGAGAATTACAGTTTTTTGTTTCTAAATTATTACCTTTAGTCTCTGACCTGCAGAATGTTATTATGCCAAGACCCATAGCAGCTAGTCAGGTGTCAGCTTCAGTCTGACCTGTATGGAGAAAATGAAGCAAAGCAAACATGGCAACCGCTCAAATCAGTTTATACCTAGGAAATGTAAGGTACACATGGACACGGCAGTTCATAGAACTGATGCAGAGACACACAGGAGGTCTTAAAGAAAATGTCCTTTTTTGCAGTCAAAATTTAAAAAACCCCTCTATATATCTACAAAATATTTCTTACCTTTTAGATAATTCTATGTGGTGGGCCTTTGTATGCTCCTCTCAATTTAAGTAACAGCAAACTGTGTCCTAATAGAAAGACTTAGGACCTGTTCAGTGTTCACACCATCTCATCTGCCAATACTGGGCATTTTTACGAGTACTCATGAAAATGCCCCCATACTAAGTGCCGATACCTGCGCTTTAAATCTTTAAGCACAAGCAGCTGCCCTAAGGTCCCCAGCAAGCGCGGGACACACCTCCAAGGCATACCTGTTCTTAATTTGTTTTTTGCTATATATGCCCTCATAGAAAATCTGTTAGACTAGAGTCAGCCACACTTTGCATATGGTTCTCAGCTAGGCAGCGTAGGATTTTTGGGGTAATAGAGCCATGTAAATAGATTTTGCTTTACCCTTGTGGCCTATCATATTTTTTTTCTTGCTGCCTGTGCCCCCTCTCTGGAAACATTCTGCCTTCTACAATGTTTGTAGACCAGTGCCTAGGGTGAGCGAGCATCACCAAGCATCAAAATGTTCCCCTAAATGGTTTCCCTTTTCTGGCCACTTGTGGCTACATTCAGCATGACAGCTGTGCACAAGATATTTAGAGGAGTCAAAATACCTCTCCTCTCTCCAGTTCACTGGTCTATACCTAGGGTAGCCAAACTCTGGCCCCTTAGCTGTGGTGAAAATACAAAACCCATCATGCCTCTGCCTCTGGGAGTCATGCCTGTGGCTGTCTGAATCTTGCAATGGGGCTTAAAGTTCCACAACAAGAGGGCCGAAGTTTGGCTGTCCCTGCTCTATACAGTTAAAAAGTGGCTCTGTTTCCCCTAAGAATATATTCTACCGTTAATATTTGCTCAAATAATGACATGTTACAAGAGGCAGAGCTTGTGTAAACAGGAGTCATTATTCAGCTGTGACTATGGTGGCATTATGTCTAGATACAGCTCTGCAGTATATAATTACATCTTTCTCTGTCCAGGTGAAAAGGGGGACCCAGGAGTTGTGCTCCAAGGAAGTAAGTAAAACTAAATGTAACTTTTATTTAAATATGTGCTTTATGTTTTTCAGGCTTTGGTCAAAAGTTGTAGGTAAACTTGTAGGTCAACCCTGAGATGGCTCAATTGTTGCATCACGTAGTGATGATATGCAAAAAAACATTGTCAAAATTATAAGCTCAGAAGGAAAATTACTGTTTTCTGAAAAAATAAGACAAAGAGGCACTTTGTAGTTAACTCAAGAGTCATACAAAGCTATCTGTAAAAAATAAATCAAGGCAACTGGACTTGCTGTATTTTTCTTGAAGACCTTTCACTGGTCATCCAACTAGCTTTCTCAATTCAGAAAGACTTGTACAAAAATTATTTCTGAATTGAGAAAGCTGGTCGGATGACCAGCGGAACATCTTCAAGAAAAATACAGCAAGACCAGTTGCCTTGATTTAATTTTTACATATATACCATTACCTGGATAAATGAGAACCTTCACAGATGCTATACAAAGCTGCCTGTGAAAGCCAACTTTTTGTGTTCTTACTGAGCGCTGGAGTTCATTCCCCTCCAAGGTTGGTTTCAACCTAAAAAGTCTGAATCTGATCGCTGGCTATGGGGTAGCTCCAGTTCTTATTACTAGTATGTTGATATATCACAGGCTCTTTGTGTTAAGCTCAAACCCTATATAGAGCTGCCTATAAAATAGCCAGCTAAAAAGCCATCAGTGTAGAGACCAGGGGCGGACTGACCATTCGGTCCGTCGGGCACTGCCCGAGGGCCCGCGGCCTTCAGGGGGCCCTTCACGGGCGCCGCATAAGGTGGGGTCGCTGCCGGCAGATAGATCGCCAGCACCTGAACGTGTGGCACATTAGTGACTGCATTCTGGTCCAGTGTGATTTGCATAAAGTGCCTCATGCACTACTTTTTGCAGATCGCACTGTTTGACATGAATGGAGCCAACATGCCCCCTCCCACCCCAGAATAAGCCTTTGTTTATGCGATCCATTATGTTCATCCCATTAGACTGTGCGATGAACGCTCTGGATAGTGTGAACGGGCCCTGAGTGATAAACACACCTTCATAAGGTTGTTCTGGACACTGTTCTGCCATACCTGCCTGATAGTTACCCTATCAGGCAGGGTGCTCGCAGTGACTGCGGATGGCGCCGCAAATATCAGCAATTGTGTAGAGATGTCACCAGCACACCAAAATCCTTCTTAGGATAAGCAAATGTTAATTTATTGAAGTTCCTTGTCATATAAACAACTGTTGTTTATATGCCAAGAAACTTCAATAAATGAACATTTGCTTATCCTAAGAAGGATTTTGGTGTGCTGGTGACATATCTACATAATCTCTAATCGGGCGGCTGCTCACTCCCAATTAGAGCCTCGGGAGGCCCCAGCGGACGGCCCTCTAACATGCCTGATTAGAGGGCTGTGCCTGCCTGATCTGTGACACAAGAATATTAATACAGGTGGGACTTGTGGGAGGGGCTTGTATATGGGCGGAGCACAAGGGGGCCCCATAACCATGTATTGCCCGGGGGCCCCATGTGTTGTCAGTCCGCCCCTGGTAGAGACATTTTGGGCTGATTTACTAAAGGAGTTGAGAACCATCTCTCAAAAATTGTGTAAATATTCACTTCCATTATTCAAGAGGTGGCTACTTTACAACACACACAGGGACCATGGGGAACAAAAGTAGCCACTCTCCAGAAGGAAGGACAGTGTCAGCACCAATTCAGAGATGATCTACAGCTGAGTGATACACAAATAAGATGCATTTGTTTTAATAGTTAAGGGACTTGAATGTATCTTTAACATTTAACTCCTGAGCTTAGTGTCACTTTAACTACAAATAGCCTGTGATGTATTAAATTACTGTTACTAAGAACTGGAGTCACACCAAAGCTATCAATCAGATTTAGACTTTTAGGACAAGGTTGAATCTATTTGGAGGCTGAGTGGAAGGAATTTCAGTGCTCAATAAGAACACAAAACTGAATATTTGCTGAGCCTATGGAAAAAGATGAAGCTGTGTTCACTGCAATTATCTAATTGTGCAAGGCAAAATCCTGTTTTTTTTTTATTTACCTACCATGTGATTGGGTATTTGCAGAGAACACAGCCTCCTCTGTGAATAGTCTCTACTACTTTAGTAAATCAATTCATTTGGTTAGGCTGATTTACTAAAGGTGCAAGGAATCTTGTGTTAATATTCACTTCAGTTATCCAATCATATAAAAGCAAATTCCTGGTCACTTTGAACACCCAATCATGTGCAGATGTTTTTTTACATGATGGGATAAATAATAGTAAATATTCACACAATTTGAATAAACTGAGTAAAAAATCTCAACTGCTTTAGTAAAATCAGCCCAATTGAGTCAAAAATGTTTCTTCTCAAAGAAAAAAAATTCTAAAAACTTAAAACCCAACTCCAGTTTTAGTGAAACCCCTCCATTTGCACTCTTGCATACTTGATATGTATTTAAAATTGATTATAAATACATATCACGTGGTCTTCTGGCCTGCAAGTGATGCTGTTTTTGGGAAAGGGTTAGAATCTCTGTCCCATTTTATTGCCGTGTCCCAATTGGAGAGATTTTCACTTACTTCCTGTCCTTACGACAACACATCACCAGACCTCTCTGCTATATTCGTCCAGTCTGCTCCTGTCCACCCAGGAGTTTTGGATATCCCTCCCTACCTGTGTGTGTTCTGTGTTTTCCTGTTACATTCTCCATAATAAAAGAAGAAATATAAAATCCAGCAGGAAGAGTGGGAACCCACTTTATAATGGGCACAGCAAGTGTGGAGAACTGGGAGCTCAGCACAGAGATCTCACCAGTACAGTCTCTGAGAGATAGAAGAAACTGGCAGGCAATTTAAATCTATACCATTTATTAAAAACCAAAACATACTATTAGGTGGACTGATCTTTTAGTCATAAAAGAGAAAGTGATGTTACATATGACTGTATTGAACTCATCAAAGAGCAAAATCACACATTTATAGGTAAAATGGTTCATAAAACAGTATTTCAGTTGTCAGAGCTCAACTTTATTCTGGAATGGTGATGTGGCAGTGCTCTTTGAACTTCTTTCCGTCAGTCTTTTCACTGCAGTGTGGAAAGTTCCAAAAATCCTTGAACCCGAGCTGCCATTGTTTGCCATTCATCCTTGGCAGATGGAAATTAGAGAGTGTGTAAAAAACAAAACAATGAGAGCTATGAAGCTTTAAATGCTCAGTGCATACTGCAAGTCAAACACTGAGAGGGGAATTTATCAAAACTGGAACAGATAAAAACTGGAGCAGCTGTACCTGGCAGCCAATCAGCGTCTCTGTTTCATTTTCAAATCTTAACTGAACAAATTGAAGAGAGAAGCTGATTGGTTGCCATGCACAGCTGCTCTGGGTTTTGTCTACTCCAGTTTTGATAAATTCCCCCTTGAAAGCAGTAACGACTCAACATCTAATTCATTCCTAAGTAATAACACCAAATATTGTTGATCCAGGTAATATCTGATTGCCTTTTTTCCCATTGGAGCAAACTGGGCCATCTTAATTTTGCTTCCACTGAATCAACTGGGTTTAGGGTTCTCTATACCAGTGTTTTTCAACCTTTTTTGTGCAAAAGCACACTTTTTTTCATGAAAAAAATCACGAGGCACACCACCATTAGAAAATGTTAAAAAATTTTACCTCTGTGCCTATATTGACTATATATAAAGTAATTCTCTTGAATAGGAATCAAATAAACACAAAAATTATTTTATAATTACTTTATTATGAAATAATAAAGTATTTTATAATTGTTCATATTTCTGTTCAATCCATGACTTAACTTCACACTTCACACAAATACGTTGAAAAACGCTGCTCTATACGAAGGATATTGGTTAATTATTCATTTTATTTCAACTGGTTGAAGTTAATGTGTCTTTTTTCAACTTGACTAAATATGTAACTATGGGGAGCTGTACTCATGGTTGCCTCCTGCAGAGTACGGCTCTCGCCATAGGAATAAATGGTGCCATGGAGCACATGCTCAAGATCAAGAGTAACCGGTAGAGCACATGCTCAAGATCTCAAGATGGAGCACATGCTCAAGATCAAGAGTAACCTTCCTTTCTGAAGCAAGTCCATGCAGCTCCAGCGGGACAGCATAGTGAAGATAGCTGTATAGAAGATGCAGGTAAGTATTTCTCTACGCGGCAGCACTCAGGGGGGTTAAAGCATTTCTTAATGGACAACTTTATTAAAAGTCCTTTAAATCAATGGGATAAAAAAGAGAAAGGGATTAAGGACAAAGTAAGAGACCAACTGCTGCAGAAACTCAGTGACAGGTTTTGCAGCCAAGTTCAAGAGAAGGAGTTTGTTCAGGAAGAATTTCCCATACTAAGTTGTTTTTGATAGCCACCCATGGATTCAAACCCCCCTTGGAAGTTTGGATGTGAATAGGGATGAAGGAAGCAGGGAGAGATAGAAGGGAAATTGCACAGGGTCAGGAAGTGCACTCCTACTAAGAGAGCTCACAGATACATAGGTTTACATCACAAAGCGAATGTACCAGGATAAGAATCCTTATTCTTTATAAATGACAGTTGTTTTAAGCTGAGTCCAATGAGATGTGAAAACTACAATGAAATGGTTGAAAATGAAGATTCTTATCCTTGCGTTAAAGCTTTATAGCCTAAAGTTAGGTTGAAAAAAGTCACATGTTCATCAAGTTTTGCATCCTTAGAACTCTAAGCCTACTGCAGATCCAGAGAAAGGCAAAACAACCCTTACCTATGAAAAGGAGCCTAGAGCTTCACTTACCTATAAAACAAAATGTTTTGTCTATAAGTCCTGAACAATATATATATTTCATTCCTCTTAAAATGATATTTCCTACCAAAATGTAGACTTCTTGGCATTCAGCAGTTTTTAATTTTTTTTGAGAACATTCTACAACTTCATTATTCATTTTCCCCAGCTGGCCAAAACTGCAAGCAGTTGCTGGATCAGGGTCAGTCACTCAGCGGATGGTACACAGTTCACCCGCTAGATGGGATCCCTCTTATGGTATTTTGCGATATGGAAAGTGATGGAGGAGGATGGACGGTAAGTAACGCTTTTAGGGGATCTTTCCATTTTATGCCACATATAACTTGGGTTCACTATTCTGTGTAAAGTAGGGCTTCCTTATGACTTGAGAAACACACTTGGGTGAACACATATGGGAATATAAAAGGGTCTATCTACCAAATCTAAAAACAAGACATAAAAGTACTTTGCTGTAAAGATGGTGACATTACATTGATAATGCAAAACAAGGCATTCAGACACTACTTTCCACGCTGTTATTACTAAATTAGTTTTCCTGGCTTAGATTTGATGTTCAGTAAATTCATTAATGGATTTTCAGACCAGTTAGTGCTGTAGGATTCGAGTGAGACAAGTTGAGCAGGTAAGTCAATGTTCCAGATTCCAGCTCTCTGAGCCCTACAAGTGTATACAAAATGTTTTCTTTAGATTCCCCAGGCTGTATGTATCTCTACATTTAATCTACGTAAAAGGTGATCTCATTGTCTATAGCTGAACTTTACCTAAATCACACAAATGTCTTTTATGTGCCTGTCCTGCCTATAAGTGTCTAAAGTCTTTTTTTCGAGTTTTGGGTAGAAAAGGGAATGCTTAGAACCTCTGCCAGGTTTTTATCACTGCTTCTGTCCACAAAGGGGAGATTCACCCCTCTATTTGACCTGGTGACAATTGTCCCTGAATCAGTAAGTTATTTAGAATATTTCTCTTTAAATCCTGTCCCAGAGACATAACATGAAGTAAGGGTGGGTCATTACGGTCCTTCAGTAGGTGTCCACTTTCAACTCATTTCCAGTTCTAGTGAAAAACCTAAGCAGCAAGGGTGCCACACAAATAATAGAAATGCTGTTTTATTAAAAAATGAGTACAGCACCAACACATTCGGGGGGTTAGAAACTCCCTCTTTATCAGGGCTACAACAAAAGTATAAAAAAGATATACTGTATATACAAAATGTTAAATCCATATTGTAAAATATGAAGCACAGAAAAGCTTGTTTTAAAAGGCATTCCATGTTGTGAAATTACCATATAGAAAGTAATTCTTATAACACACGATTACATTATTCTTAAAAAAGGATTTCATGTCATGATAAAAAAAAGTAAGATCATAAGACATCCATAATTGTAGAGCTATAGCGATCATGTTTACATAAGGAGTGACATCAAACAAGACAGAAAAGTTTAAAACTGATCAGTTTTGAAACAATATAAGCGGGTTTACCATATATACAACAATGAACTGTTTTTAGCTTTATGTCTAATTCTTAAAATAATATCAATATTTGTTATTAGTCATATTTATATAATATTAAAAATGACTAATTGGGAATTACAAACAAATTACATGACACAATAGCTACCCTTTGTTCCAAGCCTGCTTCAAGCACAATCATTCCTCCAGACCATCTCCTGGACCCTTTTCTTCTTCTGGCTATCTATCTGTTCTTCCAGTCCTTATCATTATAGCTGAAATACACAGGAAAACCTTAACTGAAACTTCCCCTTTATCCAATTAACTCTGGGTAACCTCATAAAACATATTTTCTTTCAAGTGGCTGTTCTCAATGTCCTAAAGTAACTCTAAACACAGGAGTTAAATCTTAAAAAATACATTCAAATATCTTACTATTGAAAAATGTATCTTATTTGTGTATCACTCAGCTGTAGATCATCAAATCATCTCTCAATTGGTGTTGACACTGTCCATCCTTCTGGAGGGGGGCTACTTTTGTTCCCCATGGTCCCTGTGTGTGTTGTAAAGTCCAAGCTCACTCCTTTGATGGACTACAATCTCACATTTATTTTATTAATTTGATTTCCATAATCAGCTGCTTCTAGAAGGTAATAATTTGAAACAGGTTTCCTGTTTACTCAAGGATTGACCACTGCATCAACATAGAGGTGGTATGTGCTCCAAGAACGGTACTTTTTCAAATGGAATTTCTTTTAGGTCTTTTCATGCTAAATACTCGGACTCTTGAATAGAAGAACGACTGCTACTAACTCCAATAAACTGGCATCACCGGCTCTATATATTTTACCAACATAAAAAATACCATTATATACATATATATTTTACACAAACATATTTTTGATAATATTTTGTCCATACCCAGGAGACATGAATGGACAGTAAATGTATCGTTCACAAACAAATCCCATCTACATGAGCCCACAAAATGTCTTAAAGAAGAATGGTCTTTTACCCAAATCGAGCAGTCCCTTTCTCCCTTTAATTTTGAAACCAGTCCAAGAAACATGAGGGAAGACATGATTGGTTGCAACAATCAATCGCTTTTTATGAGAACTTTTATGTTATGGTTACACCATTACACAACCTGGACTGCCTTGGTCTAGTCACATGTGCCTCTCTTCTAGGTGTTCCAGAGGAGGATGGATGGGTCAGTAGATTTCTTCAGAGACTGGAATGACTACAAAAAAGGATTTGGGAATCAGAACAGTGAATTCTGGTTGGGGAACGATAACATTCAGCGCCTCACATCCACAGGTAGGGAGACAGACAGACAGAACAATTGCTTATTTCACAATACTATATTTTTCCGTGTATAAGACTATACTTTTTCTTTAAAATATTTACCTAAAAATGGAGGAGCGTCTTATACACGGGGGGCCGAGAGGAGAACCGCGGTTGCAAAACTGCCGATACCTCTGCAAACTAGTCTCATAAGTGAAACTTCCGATTGCAGAGACAAGCTAACAGGTTTCCTCCAATCATGAGCCTTATGTACCCGACGTCAGCTGATGCTGCGGAGAGCGTGTAGCCAGTGCCCAGATGCAACAGAGGGCGGTAATGTCGGAGCATTCTGAGCCCATAAAAATGTCAGAAAAAAAAAAATACCGGTACCAGTAAGCAGCTGTCTTACTCTGCAAAATGTAAACTGGATGTAATCAATTATGCAAAAGAGCATGGAAAATATTGATTTCTGAATTTTGGGTAAGAAAAGTGGGGGGCGTCCTATACATGGGGTCGTCTTATAGATGGAAAAATACGGTAAATTGGGGTGCAACTATTGACAGGTTGGAACATAAACAGATTTACACATCTGCAGTCAGAAATGTTTTCAGCCACCATTCATGACTTCGCCAGTGACCATAGTTACATAGTATTTGAGGTTTAATAAAGACATTAGTCCATCAAGTCCAACCTATTAGGATCTCATTCTAGGAGTACCCGTACCCCTGTATATTACGGTCCCTTAAGAAATCGTCCAAAAGTTTCTTGAACAATTCCACATTATTTGCTGAAATCACCACCTGTGGCAGTGAGTTCCAGACCCTAATGACCTGGAAATTCTCCATACCTGGCCCAGAGACTGCGGCTAATCTGATCACTGTCATACATATTTGATAAATGTCAAATAATGGCAGCACACCTGTAACAGTTCACATATAGTAATATCTCCTTAAAAATTTGTGTTTTCAACAAGTGTTCCTAATATTGACTCTACTTGTGCAAATCACTGTCACCACATGGACTGCAACTCACTGCATCTCACTGACCATCCACTACAAGTTAGTCATATCTCACTTGTGTTATCTTCCAATTACCCGAGATCTCTTAAAGCGACGCTAAAAACAGGAGATAAATCTTAAAACTGCATTCAAGTACCTTAACCATTAACAAAATATATTTTATTTTTCACTTGGTCGTAGATCCTCAAATCGTCTATGAATTGGTGCTTACACTGTCCTTCCTTATGGAGGGGGGCTACTTTTGTTCCCCATGGTCCCCGTGTGTTGTAAATTAGTCACTGCTCCAAGCTCACTCCCGTGATGGTCTACAATCTCACATTTAGTATACTGATTTGTATTGAATCTGCAGTCTATCACAGGACCAAGCTTGGAGTGGTGGCCACTTTACAAAACACACACAGAGATTATGGTAAACAAAAGTAGCCAACCACCAGAAGGAAGGACAGTGTCAGCACCAATTCAGAGATGATTTGAGGATCTACAGCCGAGTGCTACACAAATAAGATACATTTTTGTTAATAGTTAAGGTACTTGAATGTAGTTTTATAATTTAACTCTTTGGTTTAGTGTCCCATTAAGAAGGTAAGTATTATCAATAGTACCCAAGGCTGTTATTTCTTATGAATCAGATTTGATATCATATATTATCTCCAGCAGTATTATTCAAAAGGTAAGTAAGAAAGAAGAAGCTTCCATTAGTGCAGACATTAGTGAAATAACAGGATCCGTGCTATGGAAAAAAATCAACTCTCTATTGGCTGCTGTGCTAAAAAGTGTGTGTACCACCTTAAAAGTGTATAAGAAAGTGCATTGCACTTCAATAGCTTCAAAACTATGAAGCAAACACCCAAGTCCATATAAGTTTTGTTACACTATATGGACTTGGGTGATTGCTTCATAGTATAAGGACTTGTTAATTTAACACTTGACTTCCCTCACTGGAATGTTTTTGGGTTTATTCACATTGGATATAATATTTTATTTTTGGATCTTTGCACTAGTTGTTTGAACACAACCTTTCCACATATGCTAAGCGATGTTATAGCACATTTGTTGATTCATTATCACTACTGTTTTATGTGATTTCATATGATTTCTATGATAATTTGGAAGGAATATGCTGATAGTAGCAGAAATCTGTGTGAAAGAGAGATGAGCTCATCGCTGCACTGCTCCTCCTTTCACTGTCCAGTCACAGGCTGAGGCGGGGCCAGAATAGCCTGGGCTCAGAGAAAGTGGAACAAATTATTCTGACATTACGCTGAGGACATCTTGTAGTAGGAAAAAGTACTTAGGGTGGAAAATCTCTGAAATGAAGGTGAATATTGTAGTCTTTTCTTTTTTTTTTTTGCTATGTTATCTGTACATTAGCTATTTATTTTTATCTTGTTATTTTTGGCTGGAGTTCAACTTTAAAGTATTAACTTGTATAATTTGTAAATATGTGCTGAATCATGGGCGGACAGTAAAATCTAGTGTTGCTTTTCACCTAGCTTGCATTTTCACTGACTTAATTTCATCTTTTTTCTTCTGTCATTTTAGGACATTTTCAGTTACGAATCGACCTTGTTGATTTCGAAAACAGAAAATTTGATGCTGTGTATAACAATTTCCGCATTGATGGGGAGAACACCAATTACACTCTAAGCGATATCAGTTACAGTGGAGGAACTCTGAGTAAGAACATATGGTCTGGTGTTGTAAAAGAAATTAGCACCTCAGTTAAAATGTTTCTGTTTTATACAGAGGGGGGAAAGGATTAGAAGCTCTGTTTAGTTTTTATAACTTTCTGTGCAGGGCCGAATTAACATAGAGACTACTAGAGTGCCAGTTCCAGGCCCACCACTGAAAATAGGCCCAGCTCACATTGGTATGCACGACAGCAATCCAGGCCAACCAGGCTGAATACAATTAGGCAGAGGCACCAGCAGCTCCCTAATTAGGCATGTAAGGTGGCTGCTCACTGGGGCCTGGCGGGGCCACAGCGAGGAGCAAGCAGCCACCTAATTAGAAAACCACCTCTGTTGCTTCCCGTCTGATAGCTCCAGGACCACCACTGAAAATAGCCCCAGCTTGTCTTGGTATGCCCGATGGCAATCCAGGCTGGCTGGGCTGGACACAATAAGGCAGAGGTGCCGGTAGCTCTCTAATCGGGCATATTAGGTGGACGTTAATTGGCGATTCGCAGGGCCCTTGTGAGGAGCGAGTGGCCGCTTAATTAGAGAGCTGCAGTGGTATGTTTCTTCAGCCGGTGTGATGTCCGCCCCGCCCCTGCCCCCTGTTCTGTGCTGCACTGAGTTTGAAGTAGCCGAGGCCGATGTGTGTCCGTAGCTGTGATCCCTCTCATGAGCAGTGTGTGAAGAAGCTCATAGTAAGTCCTCCCGCCCGTTCTGTGGATATGGAATGATAGTTTGTGTCAGAGCACTCATGTGTGTTTGTACAGTATGTCAGTATGCTGCTCTACAGTGTTACATAGCATTCATATATCGTGTATATACAAATATACTAGATAAAATACACATACATTTACTATAAAAGATTTAAACACTATGAAACACCATTTCCTTAGCTTAATGACCACACAAATGCTGAATGTATCCCGCATACAGTGCAATTACCCACACTGCGATGTGTATTAACGCAAAACCCTGCGTTCCACTAACTTGGCATTGCATACATTATTTTTTCAATATTGCAACACACCACTGCACAACCCTCCCGAGACCGTGTGCAGCCCTCCCGAGACCGTGTGCAGCCCCCCTGAGACCACGTGCCGCCCCTCTGAGACCGTGCAGCCCTTCCGAGACCACGTGCCGCCCCTCTGAGACCGTGCAGCCCTTCCGAGACCACGTGCAACACCCCTGATACACTCTGCTGTAGACATCAGACCAGCAACACAGAGTATCTAGCTTCATGTTATTGTGCATTGCTGTATAATGTATTGCTGGGATTAGTAGTCCTCTTTATGCTGATGGAATTATTCTGCATTGCTGTATAATGTATTGCTGGGATTAGTAGTCCTCTATATTTGGTGGTATTCTGCATTGTTTTATTATGTATTGCTGGGATTTGTAGTCCCTATAAAGCTTGCAGTCAGTGGCAGAACTACCAGGGGTGCAGCATTTGCAGCTGTGACTGGGCCCTGGTGTTCCGTCATTGTGCTAAAATCATTAATCTGTATTGCTTTAGAAAATTTGTCACATGACAGTACAACGTATTGGTATTTGGTATTGGCAAGTGCTTCATGAAAAGCATCGATACTCAGTATCTGTGCATCCCTACTTCCATCCATGACAGTACGATGGCAGATGAGACTTGTAGTTCCTTTTTCCTGTGGATGGATGAAGCAGCTGTGTGGGCAGAGCTTAAAAAAACCCAGCAGCCTGCAGGGAGAAATACCCCGTGATTCAGGTAAGGTGGAGGCTTGCAATCTGGCCATGTTTCATGTTACACTCTCATGGGTGTAATATAAAACATGGTCAGAAAGATGAACTTAACGTGTGATCTGCTCCTAGCGAGGAAATGCCTCCAGGTTTTGGCGTAGACTGAGCAATGTGGTCAGGGCTGGTGCTGGTGTAAGGCTGCATTGGGCCCCGGGAAGGGGGGGCGCAAAAATGCCCCTTCGCCTGTGTAGACAAAAATCCTTGCACCGGCCCTGCACAATAACATTCAAAATTATACTAGTTTGCTTACAAACTATGATCTCATATAGGGCTCTCTCTTAATAAAGTGCATGTAAAACCAATCAGGGAACCGATCATTTCCTCTGCACTCTGACTCCTGCTGAATGTTATCAGTTAGCATTGTCCCCAGCTACATCTATAGACTACAGAGCCTCTCTACCTAAGGGTCCCCACACACCTTCCGATTATCGTACGAGAATCGCGGGAAATCCCGCGATCGTACGATGATCGTAAGGTGTGTGGAAGCCGTGCGACCTCTACTACTGTAAGGTCGCACGACTTTAAACTTACGGACATGTTTGAAAACCCGCCGAGCATCGTACGATGTTCGGCGGGTTTGTGGCATGTCCATACGATAACAGCCGCACGGGCCGGTGTGCGCAAGCGCACACTGCCCGTTCGGCATTGCGGTCATCGGAAGCCCGCCCCTCAGGGGGCGTGGCTTGCGATCATCGCAAGTACGATCTGAATATGCAACATAGGCAGATCGTACGTTTTTTTTAAGTACCTTACAACCATCGCAAGACAAAAGTCTTGCGATGGTTGTAAGGTGTGTGCCCAGCCTAAGACATGGAGATAAGAGGGGCTAGCGTTTCTGTAGTCCTAACATATTTCCTTTCTTAAGGTGAAAATGCTGCCCCTTCACTGATACAGTAGAATGAGTAAGCAGTCCAAGAAGTAAGTAGACGCACGCAAGAGTAAAAAGCCAAAATCTGTGTTTATTGACAGATCTGATGAACACAGACCACCTGAGCTCCTCCTTCTGACATGCTCCACTTATAATAAGCTTACTTGTACAGTAGGAGCTATCAGGTAAGGGACTCTCTTTGAACTCACAACAACAAAGGCAAAAATGAAGACAAGAGGTGTCAAAACTTGTGATCAATGTAATATCCAAAATCCCCCCTATTGACACAGGACAGAAAACCTATCTCCCTGGGTAGGTGTGCCTATCTGTTCTATAACTTGTATCTTTAGAGACATAGTGTCCCTATTATGTGACTCAGTGAAATGCTTGGCCAGATTTGTTCTTTTATTCAATTTCACATCTCATAGACATTCCCTTGGTCACAAACCCTCTAGTTGTACACCCTACATACTGAATGTTACAAGAACCCAAAACCTGATATCAAAATTAACCATGCATCTTGATCCCCCGCATCTACGCATTTCGCGGTTTTATAGGGATAGTTCACACCATCTTCACTGGGTTCCGGCCCGATTCTGGCCGGAACACACTGGATCGCACTGCGGCCTGCTCACTTTGTTGTGGGGCCAGAAGGGGCGTGGCAGTCCATTGATCTCAGTAGCACTGTAGCCACGCCCTTTGGCCGCAATGCAACCGGCCACACAGGAACGCATAGCACATCAATGCCTGCAGTCCAGTCAGAAAAAATGCTGCAAGTACAATTTTTTCTGACGCACTTTGATGTGCGACGCGTTCACGTGCGGTCGACCTCATTGCGGCCGGAGGGAATGGCTACAGTGCCATTCACTTCAATGCTCAGGCACACCCCCTTCCACCCCACAACAAAGTGAGCTGGCCGCAATGCCATCCAGTGCGTTCCATCCATAATCGGGCTGGAACGCCCTGTGTCTGGTGTGAAGGGGCCCTAAAGATATAGGCTTGATGTTAACATATTATCAAGAGTAGGTGTCTTCCCAGGAACAAACTTTAGCCTTTTCTTTCAATATCTCTCTATAATTAAGATCTCTAAACAAAATAGGTATATAATGATTTATGATCTTTGTATTCTATTTAAATTCAATATTATACTTTGTTGAGAAGATAATTTGATGGCAGAAGTCAACACACATATTTGTAATTTTGTTTTTAATTTAGTCAAATCTCTATTATTTCAGTCTTTAAGGTTGTTATATCTGAACAACTGCAAAAAGGAAGAAAAATATGTGCCTTTCCCTCGTGTAATATTGTATAATAAAGAGATTTTTATTTTATAAAAGCATCCATATACTCACACAGATGCTTGAATTTATGCGCATCTATAAACCACATCAGTAAACTTTCACATTATGAAAGCCAGAAGCAAACAGTGACAAGAGACCTAATTTACATGCAGCTGCTCGGACTTGCAGACTGTTTTGACTAAACGCACTTTGGGGGCACACCCCCTTCAGAGCCAGACAGTCTCTGAATTCCTGCGTCCCTCAATGGACGAGAAAGAAATGATAATTTTGTTCTTTGGTTTCGATATACTTTAACTGATAAATATGTTATTGTCACCTTCCCATTACAGGTGATTCATTTTCCCAGCACAAACAACATGCATTCTCAACCAAAGATCGCGATAATGATGAAGCAGGCCACAATTGTGCCAATTCTTACCGAGGAGGATGGTGGTACACGAGTTGTCATAATTCTAACCTAAACGGACTTTATTTAAGCGGCAACCACACCAGCTATGCCAATGGCATAAATTGGTATTCTGGACATGGGTTTCACTATTCCTACAAAGTCGCTGAAATGAAGATTCGTCCGCTGGCTTAAGGAAATTAAAGACCAACGTTAAAGACCATCTCTGGAATTTAAAAAGGCACATGAAGAGACCAAAATACCTTAACCCTCATTCTGGCAGGCTCCGGCCTTCTCCTCTTCTACCTGACACTCAGGGCTGTGGGTGGTCCCCTCGGGCGGCAGTGCAGACACACACAGGCAGTCATCTCAGTGATGCGGTGCCTGGTAAAAGTGCATGCTCATTGTCACTGAGTAAAGATCTCTGCTTTGCTGTAGTGGTTGAGCAGGGAGCTGTGATTTTTATCAGGCTCAGTGTTACTGAGCTGCATTGAGGATGTCCAAGGAGTGTCCTCTGGTATAAACATCCAGCCCACTATGCTTTCTTCAGTGCCATCTCAATTGGCCTCACTGACTGCACATTTCTGCCTGCAACCTTTACCGATTTACCCATTAATAATATTAGCAGAACCACTTTTTCATTTCTCTGTTATCAAACCTGTACAATTAAGGAACAGTTGGTTCTTTAACAAATATTTGGTTGGAATGTATTAGTTATATGAAGTGGCTTTCTATAAAAAAAAAAAAAAAAAAAGAATGAAATAAACCC